TGGATGAACACAGCAGGCCAAGCACCATCAGAGGAGCAGGAAGGCTGACGTTTCGGGCCTAGACCCTTCTTCAGAAATGGGGGAGGGGAAGCGGGTTCTGAAATAAATAGGGAGAGAGGGGGAGGCGGAAAGAAGATGGATAGAGGAGAAGATAGGTGGAGAGGAGACAGACCGGTCAAAGAGACGGGGATGGAGCCAGTAAAGGTGAGTGTAGGTGGAGAGGTAGGGAGGAGATAGGTCAGTCCAGGGAGGACGGACAGGTCAAGGGGGGCGGGATGAGGTTAGTAGGTAGGAGATGGGGGTGGGGCTTGAGGTGGGAGGAGGGGATAGGTGGTTAGGGAGGCAGGGACGAGCTGGGCTGGTTTTGGGATGCAGTAGGGGGAGGGGAGATTTTGAAGCTGGTGAAGGCCTCCCCACCCACACTCACCTTTACTGGCTCCATCTCTGCCTCTTTGACCGGTTTGTCTCCTCTCCACCTATCTTCTCCTCTATCCATCTTCTATCCGCCTCCCCCTCGCTCCCCATTTATTTCAGAACCCCCTTCCCCTCCCCCATTTCTGAAGAAGGGTCTAGGCCCGAAACGTCAGCCTTCCTGCTCCTCTGATGCTGCTTGGCCTGCTGTGTTCATCCAGCTCTACACCTTGTTATCTCAGATTCTCCAGCATCTGCAGTTCCTACTATCTCTATATGATAACAAGGCCTGATGAGTGGGGGTTGGGGGCTGGGACATGGGAGAGTTTAGGTCCTAAAATTATTGAACTCAATATTGAGTCCAGAGGGCTGCAAGGTTCCCAAGCGGAAAATGAGGTGTTGTTCTTCAGGTTTGCGTTTAAATTCGCTGGAATACTACAGCAAGCCAGAGACAGAGATGTTTGCCAGGGAACAGGGTGGTATCTTAAAGTGGCAGGCAACTGGTAGTTCAGGGTCAGTTTTGCGAGCAGAACATAGATGTTCTGCGAAGTAGTCACCCAGTCTACGCTTTGTTTCCCCAATGCAGAGGAGACCACATTGTGAGCAATGAATGCAGTGGACTAAATTCTGGGAAGTGCAGGTGATGTGTTGCTTCACACGGAAGTTATGTTTGGGCCCTTGGATACTGAGGAGGGAGGAGGTAAATGGGCAGGTGTTCACCTTTGCTGGTTATAGGGGAATGTGCTGAAGGGCTGTGGGGGGTCTCCTCACCACCCATACACTCTGCAGTCCCTCTCCCTACCATCCTTTGCAGGGCTATAGTCCCCTATTACAGATTCTCTCTCCCCCATGGCAACCTCAAATTCCAAGCCCTTGATCTCATTCTCCAGTTCCTCAGCCTATGGTCCTTCTCTCCCTTCCTTGTTGGCCTTGATCCCCAGTCTCTCTCGTTCTCCTGGCTGGCAGCCAGACCCAGCCTGATCAAGCAACTCCTCACCATTCTCTTCCATTCTATTTACAGGGACAATTTTTTCTGATTGTTTGCCCCTGTATATTTTGAGTGCTGTTGTCATGGTCAGATTTATCTATGACAAGGTAGTTCTGGAAAAGGGTCATTGTACTTAAAACATTAACTCTGCACTCTCTCCACAGATGCTGCCAGACCTGTTGAGTTTCTCCAGCAATTTCTGTTTTTGTTTCAGATTTCCAACATCTGCAGTTCTTTGCTTTATTTTAGTGCATCTATGACAGGTAGATTTGTGAGTACACGGTCAAATAGGCTTTTCACTCTTATTAGCCCCTCACTTCCTGCTGCAGACCCAGTCTAGCAGCTAGGACTTCAGGACTCAACCTGCTTGGTCAGCAGTGGTACTACTAAGCCACTATTTGTAATGGGCACTGAAATCCATAACATGTTCATAGCAGTTGGTTACAACATATTGGTTTCTTGGAGGCCTTCTGGGGCATGGGTAGTGTCCCTGCCTCTGACCCTGAAGCTCCACATTTAGGCCTTGATGACCAAGCAAGATATGTTCATAACCTAGCTGAACAGGTTGCGTATTAATGTGTAAATCATTCCAATACACACCAATGTTAAACAGTAAGAGTGGGCAGGATTCCTGGTCAGCAAAGACATGGAAAGAAAATTGGATTTTCTACCATTACAGTCCATAGCTTCAGACTATAACATAAATGTAAACCGTTTGTTGCCAACAGCAATTCAGTCTTCCTCACTGAACTGAAACACACTACTACTGGCTCGCAAGACCATTTCTGAGGACACTTAACAATCAACCACAATGTGCAGATCTTCAGATAGCCATGGGCCAGACTGAGTAAGATAGAATCATGAGCCAACTTCCTTCGATGAAAGATATCAGTGAATCAGTTGGGGGTTTAAAACAATCCAGTGGTTTGAACCATTATTACTTCTATTCCATTTATTTAATAATCTAATTTTAAATTCTGACAGCTGCTATAATGACATTTGAACTTGTGCCTCTCAAGAAAATTAGTCTGGGCTTCCAGAGTGATAGACCCAAATTGCTGCCACAGCATGTATAAGCTGGCATGCAGAAATAAATATGTGTATGCAGATAAGCATACACATATGCACACATACAGCACACACATTATACAGTGTCTATACAGCATTTCAATTCCTAGAAACATCTCAACATGGTTCAAAGGAGGGTTATAATACAAAATATTACATTTAGTAACATAAGAATCATGTGAAGCCTCAACAAAGTAGACACAGAAACTATGGTTCCCCTAGGTGACAGGTCTATAACCAGGGGACACAGATTTATGGTGATTGATAGTAGTAGTAGAGGGGACATAAGGAACAAAACCTTTTCACCCAGAGTGTGTTAAATGTTCAGATGTTGCTGTCCAATTTGGTGGCAGGAGCAGAAACTCTTAACAAAACAAAAGGAATCTGTATCTGCACCTAAAACACTGTACCCTGCAAGACTATGGATCAAGTGCTGGAAGGAGGGACTATAATGGGCAGATAGTTTTTCCTCCTCAGCCAGCGAAAACATGATGGGCTAAAGGGCCTCTATCTGTACTATAACTTTTTTAAATTATTTAACCTGTTATTCTAATCAACATATTTAGAGATGTTATTACACGCCTCTGGAGCACATGGGACTTGAACCCAGGCCTCAAGTTCCGAGGCAGGGACACTTCCTGTAACTTTTCTATGGCTCTAAGAAAATTGAGGTCAAGTGATTAACAGGTTGGTTTTAAGGAGTGTCCTAATGGGGCAAAGAGGCAAAGGTTTAGGAAGAGAATTACACATCTTGGGCGGAATTGGATTTTAATCAGAGTATTTAAAGAAAGAAAGTCTTCCTCTGTGTAGAGAGTGTACTGACTTTACACTGAGCTCCATATTAATGATTTGCATGACTAAATCAAATGTAATATTACCAAGTTTGTTGACAATACAAAGCTGGGAGGAATTGAGAGTGGTGAGGAGGATGTAAAGAGGCCTCAAAATGATTTACATAGGTTGAGTGAGTGGGAAACTACATGGCAGATGGGGTATTACATAGATAAGTTTGAAGTTATCCACTTTGGTAGGAAAAACAGAATGGTCATAGACTGGGAAATGTTGATGTACAAAGACACCTGGGTGTCCTTAAAAACCAGTCACTGAAAACAAACATGCAGATGCAGCAAGCAGTTAGGAAGGAAAATGGCATGTTTGCCTTCATTGCATGAAGGTTTGAGTACAGGAGCAAAAAAGATCTAACTATATATACAGGGCCTTGATACCACACTTGGACTATTGTGTGCAGTTTTGATCTCCTTACCTAAGGAAAGGATATACTTGCCATAGAGGGGAGTATAGTGAAGATTCACCAGACTGATTCTTTTGATGGCAGAATTGTCATATGAGGAGAGATTGGATTGACTAAGAATGAGAGGTGATTTCATTAAAAAGTATAAAATTTCGACAAGGGTGGAGAAACTGAATGTAGGGATGATGTTTCCCCTGTGTGGAGAGTAGCGGGGGGGAGTCTAGGAAAAGGGTCATAGTTTTAGGATACACATAGGCCATTTAGGACTGTGATAATTTCTTTTCTCAGAAGGTAGTACATCTGTGGAAGTCCTTACCACAGAGGACCATCAAGGCTGGGTGATTAGGCACATTCAAGGCTAAGATTGACAAATTTTGAATCAGTAAGAGAATCAGGGTTCTGGGGTAAAAGCAGGAAAGTGCAGTTCAGGGTTATCAGATCAGACATGTTTACATTAAATGGTGGGGCAAACTCAATAGGCTGAACGGCCTACTTCTGCTCCTACATCTTATGGTCTGTGGTGGCCAAGACTCCAAATATACTTAAGAAAGAAATGGATAGATTCCTAGAAACTAAAGGCATTAAGCGGTATGGAGAAAGAAGTAGACGATCACCTATGATTTTATTGAATGATGGAGCTGGTTTAGCGACTTCTGCTACAATTTTCAATGTTTCTACACCAGGTCAGCAGCTCTCCCAACACCCGGTCCCAGCTGGTCACCCTTTATATAGACATTAATTAATCCATTAACAGCCATCACGTATTTCAACTTTTAACCTTAATTATTCGTTATATTAAAGACTCTGCTTAACCTGACATCAATATAGATCAACAAGCACAAGGGGTGAATGGGACTTGTTGCAATTAAGATACAGTTTTAGATTAATTCATGTTTACGGGGGGTAGAATATGAGAGAGCAACTGGGATGCACTGCAATTGTCGAGTAACAAGGCATGGATAAGGGTTTCAGCAGCAATGAGCTGAAAGGGGGTGAAGTACAGGCAAAAACACATGTGCAAATAAGAAAAAGTACTTCCCCCAGCACTCTACTAATAACACAACAGCCTCAATTTGAAGTGATTGTTCAAACCCTATGTAGCCAGAGCCGCTTTTATTCAGCATAGTGTTAATTATTGATTACCTGTAGGAGGGAGTCAGTTCTCTCTTCTCAACTGCTGCAGCTCCTGTAATGTGTGGGCCAGATGCCTGACACAAACAAAACCAAATAATAAACAGAGCCAACACAGTGGCAGCGCCTGAATGGAGCAGCCTCCTTTACCTGTGATGTTAGTGACAATGGCAGTGGTTGGAGCCTCTCAGCTGTGGCACTTCATTCTCCAGTTAACACGTCAGTGAAAACAATCAAATCCGCCTGACAGAAGAGATTCTGCAGAGATAGAAATTACATTACCTCCTTACAATTCTGCATATTTCTGTTAACTGAAAGCTTTCAGTTGCAAATTTCCATTAAATTAACACCCTCTCCCAGCCAGCATGGTTTATGATATTTACAGACTTAATATAAATTTCTTTCTGCATCGTGTTCCTAGGAGTCTGTGTGTTCTGCCAGAATACAGCCCACTGGAAGAATGAAACGGCCTGTGAAGACAGTCCTTTTAAAGGAAGCACGCAGGCAATTTAGTGTACAACATGATCCCACAAACAATAAAACCAGATAATATGCTTTTCTTCCTCGTGAATAAAACAAAGATCTGTTGATGCAAGAAATCTGAAACAGAAAAAGAAATGGCTGGCAAAACTCAGCAGGTCTGGAAGCATCTGTGGGGAGAAAGCAGAGTTAACGTTTTGAGTCCCGTGAGTTAACTCCGCTTCCACCCCACAGATGCTGCCAGATCTGCTGAGTTTCTCAAACAATTTCTCACTTGAGACATTAGGTAAGAGCTAGGTTTTGGCCAGGACACGTGGGAGAGCTTGATCTCTTGGACCTTCTTCACAGGCGGTCAGCCAATTTCTTTACACCCAAGAGGGCAAAGGGGACCTTTGTTAAAGGTTCCATCACAAGATGGGCCTCCCTGGCAAAGCAGCAGTCTCCCAATATTGCACTGAAATGCCAGCCTGCATTCTGCTCTCAAGTTTTGTGGAATGGGACTTGCATACAGAACCATTCAACACCTTTCATATGTTAGGAGCCAAAAATGCAGAATTTCTGGTCTTGCCCCTACTGTATTCGATTGAAGGAAATTTTCAACCCTGGCTGATCTATTGTGTGATTGAATTGAATTAAACTTCTTAGGTGAGATAAGGACATTTTTCTCTGTGAAAGGTGCTATAGAAATTGTTGTTGTACAGTGTGCTATTTTGATTTGGATCAAAGCAACTTAAAGAATAGAAAAAAGCCACTTAGCCGAATACACTAATACCAGATCCCTAAAAGAGCAATTCCATTAGCTCCATTTGGCCGCTACTTCCCACATGAAATGCAAATGATCGCCGCACAATTCTGTTGGAGACAATGTCCCATCTCCACACTGAGGATGTGCTCTATCGTGTTGTGTGATACTATTACCATGCCATTTTGGACAGACTTTGAATAGATCTAGCAAGTCAAGACCGGGCATGCATGAGGCACTGTGGGCCATCGGCAGCAACAGAATCATACTCCAACACAATCTACAACCTCATGGCTTAACATAACCACCCCTCTCTACCATTACCATCGAGCCAAGGAATCAATCCTGGTTCAATGAAGAATGCAGGAGGCCATGACAACAGTAGCACTAGGCATACCTAAAAATGAGTTGGTTAGCACACAGGAAGCAGAGTGGCAAGCAGTGACAAGTGGGGTGCCGCAGGGTTTCATGCTGGGACCCCAGCTGTTTGCAATATACATTAACGATTTGACAAAGAAATTGAATGCCATATCTCCAAATTTGCAAATGAGACTAAACTGGATAGTAGTGTGTGCTGTGAGGAGGATGCTAAGAGGCTACAGGGTGACTTGGACAGAGTGGCTGAGTAGGCAAATACTTAGCAAATGCAATACAATGTGGATAAATGTGACATTATCCACTTTGGTCGCAAAAACAGGAAGGCAGATTATTATCTGAATGGTGGCAGTTTAGGAAAAGGTGAGATGTAATGAGATCTGGGTGTCATGGTAGAACAGTCGCTGAAGGTTGGCATGCAAGTGCAGCAGGTGGTGAGGAAAGCTAATGGCATGCTGGCCTTCATAGCGAGAGGATTTGAGTATCGGAGTAAAGATGACTTGCTGCAGTTATACAGGGCCTTGATGAGGCCACACCTTGAGCATTGTGTGCACTTTTGGTCTCCTAGTCTGAGGAAGGATATTATTGCTATTGAGAGAGTCCAGCAAAAGTTCACCAGACTGATTTCCGGGATGGTAGGACTGACATATGAGGAAAGACTGGATTGACTGGGCTTGTACTCACTGGAATTCAGAAGAATGAAGGGGAATCTCATAGAAACAAATCCTGAAGGGACTGGACAGGCTGGATGCAGGAAGAATGTTCCCAATGTTGGGGATGTCTGGGATGAGGAAGAATTTCTTCACTCAGAGTTGTGAATCTGTGGAATTCTCTCCCATGGGAAGCTGTTGGGGCCAGTTCATTAGATATATTCAAGAGGGAGTGGACATGGCCCATGCGGCTAAAGGGATAAAGGGGTACGGAGAGAAAGCAGGAATGGGATACTGAGATTGCATGATCAGCCATGATCATATTGAATTTTGGTGCAGGCTCAAAGGACCAAATGGACTTCTCCTACACCTATTTTCTATGTTTCTATGGTGTGTCAACCTGGTGAAGCTACAACACAGGACTACTTTCATGCCAAACAGCATAAACAACAAGTGATAGATAAAGCCAAACAATCTTACAACCAACAAGTCAGACCCAAGGTCTGTATTACTGCCAAATCTACTCATGAAAAATGGTAGACGATTAAACAACTCAAGGAGGAGGAAGAAGGCTCCACAGGTATGTCCATCTTCAAAGATGGGGGAGCCCCGCACAACAGTGCAAAACATAAGGCTGAAGCATTTGCAACAATCTTCAGCCAGAAATGCCGAGTCAATGATCCATCTTGGCCTCCTCCAGAGGTCTCAGCGTCACAGATGCCAGTCTTCAGCCAATTCGATTCACTCCACATGATATACCAAGAAATGGCTGGAGGGACAGAATACTGCAAGCAATGTGGGCCCTGATAATATTCTGGCAATAGCACTGAATGCATGTATTCCAGAGCTTGCCATGCCCCTAGCCAAGCTGTTCCAGTATGACAACATACAACACAACTATCCAACCATGTAAACTTTGCCCAGCTAAGTCCTATCTGCATGAATCAAGATAAATTGAACCTGGCCATTTACTGCACCATCAGTGTCCTCTTGATCAACATAAAACAATGGAACACGTAATCAACAGGGCTTTCAGGCATCAAAGGAGTAGGTTCATGATAGTGTAGTGGCCAGTGGGCATTAAAGAACAGAAGATTTAATTGGTCAGTTCATGACAGCACACATAACTTAGGAGTGAGATCAAAGCCTTTTGGGGGAAATGTTCACCAGGTGGGCACAGAACAGGTGTAGGTGGGGGCTGGGCACAGAGCAGGTGAAGGTGAGTATGGGCACAGAGCATGTGCAGGCGAGGGATGGGCACGGAGCAGGTGCAGATGGGGGATGATGCATCCCAAAATCAGGTCAAGGAATACATGTGCAGTGAAGAAAAGAAGATCTGGGGAGTAGATGGTCAAAGGGTAGAGGTTGAGCTGGAGCTCCCTATTTACCTGATCCCAGTAATTATCCTGAATTTATTAGTGCAGGTGTATCAAAGAAGAGTCTGAAGAAGTTGGTTTTGTCCTTGTTATCCTTGTGAAGGTTGGGGTGAGTTACTTTCTTGAACTGCTGCAGTCTGCTTGATATAGGTGCACCCGCAATGCCATTAGGGAAGGAGCAACAGTGAAGAAACTGTGGTATAGTTCCAAGTCAGGATTATGAGTGGCTTGGTGAGGAACTTGCAGGCAGTGCCACCTCCTTTGTCCTTGTAGATGTAGTGGTGCTCTCTTTGGAATGCGCTAAGGAGCCTTGGTGATTTTCTGCAGTGCATATTGTAAACGGTACCCACTGCTGCTACTTTGTGTTGGTTGTAGCGGGAGTGGATGTGTGTGGATGTGGTGCCAATCAAATGGGCTGCTTTGGCTTGGATGGTGTTCCCCAATCCAAAGTCTAGACCAATCTAAAAGCTATTAATATTTTTCTTCATTTCTGATGCTAGGTCATTGACCTGAAACATTAATTTTGCTGGTCACCACAAATGCTGCCTGATCTACAGAACATTTCCAGCTTTCATGTTCTTATTGGAGATTGGCAGCATCTGCAGTATTTTGATTCTGCACTAATAAATTCAGGATAATTACTGGGATCAGGTAAATAGGGAGCTCCAGCTCAACCTCTACCCTTTGACCATCTACTCCCCAGATCTTCTTTTCTTCACTGCACATGTATTCCTTGACCTGATCTTGGGATGCATCATCCCCCATCTGCACCTGCTCCGTGCCCATCCCTCGCCTGCACATGCTCTGTGCCCATACTCACCTTCACCTGCTCTGTGCCCAGCCCCCACCTACACCTGTTCTGTGCCCATTATCCACCCACAGCTGCTCTGTACTCACACCCCATCTGCACTTGCTCAATGCCCATGCCCTCCTGCATGCACCTGCTCCGTGCCAACCCCCATCGATCTGCTCCCTGCCCACCTCCCAATGACCTTGTTCCCTGCTCATTCCCCAAAGACCCTGCTTCCTGCACATTCCCCAATGATCCTGTTCCCTGCCCATCCCCCTCCATGAACCTGCTCCCTGCCCATCCCCCGACTGAACCTGCTCCCTGCCCATCCTCCGACCCAGCACTCCATTCACTCCCTACAAATTCTACAACTCTATCTGCTCCATGACCATTCCCCAGCCACAACTCTTCCCTGTCCATCCCCAACACCCTACTCTGTGCTGATCTATATACCTTAATAATTGCAATGTAACCACATTCTTATAACTTGAGGTTTATCTGTGTCTACATACATATCCGTTTTCACCACTCCTCCAGGCTTCAATCCATCAGTTCCATTTCTCTTTTTACCCCTATTTACCTCTATTTTATACTTATTCTCACTTTATCCTTTGAAATGTCTCTCTTTGATCAACTTGCCTCCTTTAATTTCTCCCCTCTTCAGTACTCTGACTTTTCAAATATGCAGTCTCTCCCATCTAGAAGGACAAGAGCAGCAGTTGGGAACCCCACCCTGCCAGGCCCCTCCAAGCCACTTATCATCCTGACTTGAACAAATCTAACTTCCTTCATAGTCACTGGATGAAATTCCTGGACTCTCTTCCTCACAGCATTGGGGGTGCCCTACACCCCAAGCACTGCAGTGGTTTGAAAGTCATCTCACCAGGTCCTTCTCCAGGGCAATTAGAGATGGACAATATATTCTTATCTGTGATAGCAACACCCATATCTCATGAATGAATACAATAAAAATCTATTCAGTACTCCTGCACATTCCTACATCGCACCCTTGGTTGGTAACCTTCTTCTTCTTGCACTTTCTCATCCTTTGAGCCCCTTACCTTGTTCTATACCTCACATTACTCACTAAAAATCCACATTCCCTACGACACATCCAAGAAACATAAAAATGTTCTCACCAAGATATCTTTTGTCCTTACATAAAAGCAAAATACTGTGGATGCTGGAAAATGCTGAAGAAGCTCAGCAAGTATGGTAGCCTCCGTGGAGAGAGACTCAGAGTTCTTCAGAATACTGACCTCCTGAGTTTCTCCAGCATATCCTATTTTTAATATCTTCTCTGCTTTCTTCTCTCAGCCCTTGGCACCAAATTACCTCTCTAGGCCATTGTTTAACTACAGTTTCACTTCCACTTTTGATGCCCTAGTTCCCATTGAAATCTCTAATTCCTTCACCAGCCTCCCCAGCTCACCCCTCATCTCCATTATCTTAAGTCACGGGGACAGCTGACTTGAGAGGATATAGCAGTCAGCAAGATTAGCCAAACCTGGCTGGAGGACATAAAAACTCTCAGATCCTGCTCCCATTTGTCAAAATCCATTACCTCAAATGTAAAGATAATCCCCAGCTGTCTTTAATTCACCCTATCATCTCAATGCCCCTCTCCTTTGTCACCTCTACCCTCATCTCCAACACGTCCAGGAGCTCATCAAATTCTTTGTTACTAACTTTGAGCTGTCTCTGCTACTTACCTCCTTCCTAATAGGTTCCCCCTCATCCAAGTTCTGAACTTGCATCTTTCTTCAGCATTTCCCCCACCTTGCCTCTTGAGTTCATCTTGTCCATGAAGCCCATCTCTAGCTCTGTCAACCTACTCATAAAACATCCCAAACATAACTCTTCTCAATGTCAAGAAAGCTTAATCCAGTTTTCCCTCTTGGGCACCATTTTAGCAGATATTGTAAACAATTCTCTCTTCAAGTGTTGTCCCTCTCACCTTTAAATTGACTGTCATCACACTTCTGCTCAAACCAACTCTTGACCCATTTGTTCTAGCAAATTACCAGTCTAATCCAACCTCAGGTGCAACTCTTCAGAGTCTTTGAACGTGATGTTGCTGCCCAAATCCATGCCCATCTTTCTGGGAGCTGTATGTCGGAATGGCTCTACTGATTACCATTCTGATGTAGATCACAACAGGAACTTTAACTTAAGGATGCAGAAACATCTCAAAATGGAGAGAAAAGTTTAAAGAAAAGAATAAGTTGGTTCATGAATTTTCAATTCAAGAGGCATGGATTGGGTTATGTCTTGATGTTGCACTCTTGATGGCAGAACCCCAGTCCATTCACACAGAATTTTGGTCTCTACGAGGGTCGAGTGCTCGCTGGATGGGGCCCACTGCATCCTGAGGCAGGCAGTTTCAGGTTAGAAGGCCCACCTTCATATATTGAGATCCTGACAGTTATATTCATGGTTGTTAGGCTCCCTCAACTCCCATCCCACCCACTCCCATTATCCCTCCATGCCACCATGTCCCTTTATAACGTCATCCCCTGATCCAGCCCCATTTCTCCCTCAAACTCCATTACACTCACATCACCTGTGTCCTTGCAGCATGTTTAATTATCCATCCTACAATTCTGATTTGGATCACAAGACTTCCAGAACACATTACATTTGAACAGACAACAATAAGTTGAACATGATTAAATTGACCTGTCTACTCCTGATTTCATAGAATCCCTACAGCATGAAAACAGGCCATTTGGCCCATCGAGTTCACACCAACTCTACATAGATCATCCCCCTCAGGTTCACCCTTGGGTCCCTGTAGCCCCGCATTTCCTGGTACTACGTTCAATTTAGTATAGACAATCCACCTAACTTGCAGGTTTGGAATGGGGAGGAAACCGGAGCACCCAGAGGAAACCCACGCAGACACGGGAAGAATTTGCAAACTCCACACAGACAGTTGCCAGAGGGTGGAATCAAACCCAGATCCATGGCACTGTGAAGCAGCAGTGCTAACCGCTGAGCCACCATGGTAGCCCACAGATATGGACATGGAAATTGAATTGTGTGTTAAAGTTTTGAGATTTTACTTGTCTGAAAATTTTAATTCTTTATGAAATGGGCTTTAAATTTGGTTTGAACTCTTGCAGTGAAAGTTTCCTGTCTATTGCAATTGAAAATTTTCCAAGAAATAAACTTGGGCCAGTTTTAATCTTGATGTCAAGAAACCCGAAGCAAAAATCTGCAATTAATTGCCACTCTTAAACCCACTTGATAGAGTGTGATTACAAGAGCAATGACAGTAGGTGTCAGCCATGACTCAATGGGCATAACTTTCATTTCAAAGTCAGAAGGCTATATGTTCAAATCCCACTCCAAAAACTTAAGTGCACAAACGTTCTAATGAGAACGGTATTAAGGGAATGCTGCACGTTCACAGATGCTATCCCTCAGATGAGATTTTAAACCAAAACTCCTCATTTGCCCATTCAGGTCAGCAAAGTTTTGCTGACATTATATGAAGGACTACAGCTGAGTGCTCAGTAGTGAGCCAGTCAACTTTCATGCCTCATCAATATTGGTAAAATAGTTTATCTGGTTATTATCATATTGTCGCTGTGATTCCCACATAACAGACGTGTTTACACTTCACAAGTACTTGATTGGATATTACGCTCAATAGGATATCTGATATTGTGAAATGTTTTATGCAAATCAAGTTCCTTCTTTACGGAACTTGCTTTTAATGCCAAAACAAACGATGGCAATGAACTAAATTTAAACTTACTTCAGCCCTTGTAAAGCACAGAACGAAAGGCATGCAATATATTTTCAAGTCTGAATTGTGGATTCACTGCACTACTTACATCGCAAGCACAGTCAAGTGTCAACAATGCATGCCCCTCAATTAGGATTTAACACCATCACTGACAGGATTAAAACATTCTGAGTACAATTCTGATATTGTTGCAACTGCTTGGAGCTCTGAGGAACACCAAATTCCACTGTATTTTTTCTGCAAAGTCTGCACAGAACTGCTTTGGACCTTTGAACTTACTTATAAATAATTTATGAATAAATTATATTTTTCCAATTAAAAAATCTGAACAACATGCATTTATCTAGTACATTTAAGGAAGTATATTGCCCTAACATTGTTCACAGGAGACTAACCAGACACATCTTGACATTCAGCAACATATGCAGAAAATAGTAAAATTGAGTAAAATGCTGGTGAAGGAAATAGCGGAATTTAAGGAATCTAAAAGAAGGACAAGTAGAGATTTTTTTGAGGGCGAATGGAGGGATTATTCCAGAACTAAGAACTTCAATGGCTGACAGAAGGACAACCAGTGGTAAGTATAGCAGCAAGTCTGGAATGCACAAAAGGTCAAAACTGCCAAAATACAAAGGTCCCAGAGGATTGGAAAAGATTGGAAAAGACTGCAGAGAAGAGGAGGCTTCCCAGGGGAACTGAACTCAAGAATTGGAATTTACATGTATTGCTGTGCTGGAGCTGTCAAAGAAACCTTTGTGAGTTACTACAGTGCATCTTGCAAATAGCACACTGTGCTGCTACTGTGCCTTGGGGGGGATAAAAGGAGTAAGTGTCAAAGTTGGTGCTTGGGGTGCAAATCAAACAAGTTGTTTTGCCTTGGATGGTTGTTGGAGCTGCACCCATCAGGTAAGTGGAGGGTTTCCATCACCATCCTGACTTTTGTCTTGTACATGGTGGACAGACTTTTGGAAGTCAGGTGAGTTAATTGCTGTATGATTCCTAGCCTCTTACCCACTCTTATCCAATTCAAGTCTGTCAACCCCCCAAGATGTTGATAGTCAGGGATTCAGCAATGGTAATGCCAATCAATGTCAAGGGGAAAATGGGGAGATTCTCTCATTGAAGATGGTCTTTGCCTTATACTTTTGTGGCATAAATGTTACTCACCACTTATCAGTCCAAGCCTTCATATTGTACAGTTCTTGCAGCATTAGACACAGAATACAGCATTATTTAAGGCGTCATAAATAATGCTGAACATTGGTGATTGTACAATGAATATCCCCACATCTGATCCGATGAAGGAAGGAAGGTCATTGATGAGGCAGCTGAAAATGGTTAGGCCTAGACATTATAATAAAGAATTCCTGCAGAGATGCCCTAGAATTGAGGTGATTGACCTCTAACAGCCACAAACATCTTCCTCTGTGCTAGGTATGACTTGAACCAGTGCAGAGTTTTTACTCTGATTCCCGTTGACTCCAATCTTTCTACAGCTCCTTGATGCCACAGAGTCAAACGCAGCCTTGATATCAAGGGCAGTTGCTCTCAAATCATCTCTGGGTTCAGTTGTTTTGTCCATGTTTGGACCACAGCTGTAGTGAGGAACTGAGTGGCCCTGGGGGAACCCAAACTGGGTGAACAGTGAGCAGGTTATAGCTTATCAAAAGTTGTTTCTTAGCACGGTCAACAACCTCTTCCATCACAATACTGACAATTAAGAGTAAATTGACAGGGTGGTAATTGTTCAGATTGGATTTGTCCTGCTTTTTTAGACAGGACATATCTGGGTAATTTTCCACATTGACAGATAGATGTTATTGTTGTAGCTGTACTGGATCAGGCTGGCTGGAAACACAGCATGTTTTGCAGCATTAGTCTTTAGTATTATTGCTGGAATTTTGTTAGAGCCCATAGCCTTTGCAGTTACCAGTGCCTTCAGCAGTTTCTTGTGAGATCATGTGAAGTGAATTGAATTGGCTGAAGATTGGTGATCCTGGAGATTTACAGAGGATGTCAAGTCAGAGGATCCACTTGGCAATTCTGGCTGGAGAGGGTTGCAAATGCTTTCATTTATCTTTTGCACTGATGTGCTGGGCTCCATCATTGAGAATGGGAATATTTGTGGACCACCTCCTCCAATGAGCTGTTTAATTGTTCAGCATCATTCATGACCGGATGTGGCAGCTTAGAGATCTGATCCATTGGTAGTGGGGTCGTTTAGGTCTGTTTATTGCTTGTAGTTTATGTTGTTTAGCACACAACTTGTTTTGTAGCTTTAGTGAGTTGAACTGCATTTTTAGGTATGTCTGGAGAAGTTCCAGGCATGCCGTCCTGAACTCATTAACTTTCCATTTGAACTAGGGCTAATCCTCTGGCTTTGTGGTAATGGTAGAGTAGAGAACACATTGGGCCAAGTGGTTGCAGATTATGATTGAATTCAATGCAAAAACAGAAATTGCTGATGAAAAGCAGCAGATCTGGCAGCATCTGTGGAAAGAAAGTATAGTTAACGTTTCTGGTTAAGTGACCTTTCTTCAGAATTCTGGTTCAGATTTCCAGCATCCTCCGTTCTTTGTTTTATTTATGTGATTGAATTAATTTCTGCTGTTATTGATGGTTCATGACGCCTCATGGATCTCCCGTTTTGAGCTTCAAGACCTGTTTGAAATCTGTATCATTTAGCACAACGGCAGAATTCGCCAGGGAATTCTTGGAGGCCTCATATTCTAACCGGAACTCCATCAACAAACATATTGAATTAGACCCTGAGTACAAACCACTGAGAAACAAAACCTGAAGTGGTACCAAACACCCCACAGAACACAATGGAGAGTATGCTCATTGTGAAGACAGAACTTCGTCCCCAAAAGGACTATGCGATGATCAGTCTTACTTACACCATCATTTTTTGATGCATCTGGGATAGGTAGATTGAGAGAATGAGGTCAAGTAGACATTTCCCTCCTTCCCTGGGACAGGACATAATCAGGGATATTTAAAGTTTTTGAGAAGATTTGTAGCTCAGGTTGTGGATGAGGTTGTAGACATGTTCACTGAGCCAGTGGTTTTGGAATGTTTCGCCACCCTGCTAGGTAACATCATCAGTGTTCTGCCCTGCTTATTTTTTATATGCCTCATTTTTTTGGGGTGTTTCATACCACTTCCGGTTCTGTTTCTCAGTGATTTGTACACAGGGTCTAATTCAATGTGTTTGTTGATGGAGTTCCGGTTGGAATACCAGAATTCCCTGGAGTGTCTCTGTTTGGCTTGTGCAATTATGAACGTGTTGTCCCAATCGGATTCATGTCCCTCACTGTCTGTGTGTAGTGAGACAGTGAGAATTAGTCGTGTCTCTTGTTGGGTAGTTGGTGTTCGTGTATCGTATTCTTCCGGTTTGGCTTATGTAGTGTTTCTCACAGACCTATTTTGTATATTACACCGGTTTTGCCGGTTTTGGGTACGGGATCCTTTACACTGATGAATGTTATGGATCCTGTACCCAAAACCAGTGTAACCGGTGTAATATATAAAATAGCATGCAAGGTCTGTGAGAAACACTACATAGGCCAAACCGGAAGAAAAGTGACAGTACGGATACACGCATACTAACGAGCCACCAAGAGATACGACCAATTCTCACTTGTCTCACTACACATGGACAATGAGGGACACAAATTCGACTGGAACAGCACATCCATTAACGCACAAGCCAAACAGACACACGCCAGGGAATTCTTGGAGTCCTGATAAACTAACTGGAACTCCATCAACAAACATATTGAATTAGACCCTGTGTACAAACCACTGAGAAACAGAACCTGAAGTGGTACCAAACACCCCAAAAAACTGAGGCATTTAAATGACAAGCGGGACAGAACACCGATGTTTCACCAGAGACGCACTGATGACGTTATCTAGCAGGGTGACGAAACATTTGCAACCAAACCCACTGGCTCGGTGAGCATGTCTACAGCCTCATAGTCAGGAATACAGAAGTTGGCACATTGGAAGGTACCATTTTGAGTATGACTGAATTACTGTTGTTTGACTAGTCTATGGGACAAATGTACCAAAAATCTAATCCAACCCCATTAACCAGAGCTTGAGGCAACCCCTTTAACCAGAACTAAATTCTTTAACCAAAGTCCATGTTGGTCTTATTAATCAGAGCCTAAGTCAGCGCTAAGTCCAGGAATCCTCATTGTAGCCACAGCTGAGCAATTACTGCAGTATCACTGTTGACATCTTACAAAAATAAATTTGTTATTTCTGTTACATTACCATGACAACCAAACAATAAAATATTAACTCTGAAAATCAATGGCTCTGATCCTTATTCAGCTTGCATTGCTACTTCTTAAAGTGCAATGCAAAAGAATTCAACTCCTACATGATTAAATAACAGCTTCTCAGACTATTGACATTTCCCACAGAATTAGATCTCTTTCAGTGAAATCCAATACTCTGTGACACAGCAGCCAGACTGCAACTCCTCTGCATTTCAGGTACCACACAAACAGAATATTAAAATGAGAAATAATTACATGTTTAATCTAATCCCAGCCATACTGTACACAATCACACCCAAGAAATTATGGCATTCTCTCTTATTAATTCTCAGGATATACCCCTCACTGGCTGGATCACCATTTATTGTCCATCTCTAAATGCCTTGGAGAAGGTGGTGGTGAGCTGTCTTCTTGAACCATTGCAGATCTTAGGATGTACAGATACCCACAATGCTGTTAGGAATGGAGGTCCGACATCTTGACCCAGCTACACAGAAGGAACAATTCCAAGTCAGGATGATGAGTGGCTTGGAGATGGAACTGCAGGTGTTGGTCTTCCCATGTATTTGCTGCCTCTGTCCTTACAGGTGGTAATGGTCGTGGGTTTGGAAGGTGCAGTTGTGGGAGCCTTGGTGAGTTGCTGCAGTGCATCTTGCAAAAGATGCACGATGCTGCTACTGAGGGAATGAATGTTGAAGGTAATGGATGAGGTGACAATTAACCAGATTGCTTTGTCCTGCACAGTAAAACGTTTCTTGAGTGCTGCTGGAGTTGCACCCATCCAGGCAAGTGGGGAGTACACTCACTGCTCGTTATCCACAGATCACTACTCGTGGGCCCGCATACTCAGGAAGTCGGCCCCAGACCCATCTTTTTATTTTCCCATTGTCTCTTACAGTCTGATGGCACAGTATTTCACGGTAGATAGGAGAGTTACATTGGAGTGTTATCTATGTTTTTCATTATCTGCGGGAAGTCTGTGCCCCTATCCCCCTTGGACAATGAGAATTTGGTTTCCACCACACTTCTGACTCATGCCTTGTAGATTGTGGAAAGGCTTTGAGGATTCAAAGGTGAGTTAATTACTGACCTACTCTTAAAGCCACGGTATTTAAATTGCTGGTACAGTTCCGTTTCTGTAAATTATTAATGCATTGAAGGAATGCCAAGGAGTTCAGATTCAATGGGAGTAATTTTAATCCCACTACTAACCATTTTTAATGAGAACCAGATGTCAAACTACTGCTTATTTGTGTCAAGGTCCAGCCAATGAATGGAATGACTGCAGTGTTTCTGAAATTTTTTTAGAAGTAAGGTGGATGGCATGGAGAGGATTGCCAATTTGTAGATACTGAAAAAATGGTGGTGGTGTAAAAGTTTCAGTTTGGGGTTCCCTAATGGGAAAGTCATCAATGTTTGAGAGGGTAGCTCAGCAATATTACCACAGATTCAGGAAAAAATTTACATTTATTCTAGTCCTGACAATAATAAGGGAGCAAATTGCTGAGGTTCAAGTAAATCTGATTTAATCTTGACTTGAGGCAAGCACCAGCTCACTAGAGAGTGCCGTATCTCACCAGGGTAGCACTATTCCCAGTCTTCATGCAATATTCCCAATTTATTTTCCTTTTATAAGACCATATGTTGTAGAAGCAGAAGTAGGCCATTCTACCCCTTCAGCCATTCAATGAGATCATGGTTGATCTGATAATCCTAAACTCCACTATTCTAACTTTTTCCTCACATCCCTTGATCCCTTTACTGATTAAAAATCTCTCTCAGTCTCTGATATATTCAATGATCCACACTCAACAGCCATATGCGGTAAAGAATTCCACAAATTCATTACCCAAAAAGAAGAAATTCTTCCTCATCTCTGTCTTAATCGGGCAACCCCTTATTCTGAAATTATGGCCTCCGGTCCTAGACTCTCCCAAAAGGGTAAACAGTCTCTCCACATCAAGACCCCAATTAATAAAGTTGCTTCTCATTCTTCTAAATTCTAATGAGTACAGGCCCAACCTATTCAACCTCTCCTCATAAGACCGGAATCAGCTTAGTGAACCTTCTCTAGTCTCCTTCCAATGCCAATATGTTTTTCCTTAGACAAGGAACCAAAATTGTTCCCAGTATTCCATCTGTGGTCCAACTAGTCATAAATATATATTGTAAATGTTGGGGTATCAACACTAATCCCTGTGGCACTCCATTAATTACAGGTCACCATCCTGAAAATACACCCCTTATCCCAACTCTCTGTCTTTTATTAGTTAGCCAATCCAATTTCTAGACCCAGGCTAACAGAAAATATGGACCAGGTTTTGTACTTAACAAGAATTATCATCTAGTACAAATAAATAGATTATAGTTACAAGTAAATGACTGTCAACTGTCAACATGTAATTCTACATAAACTCTAAACCCCCTATCAAACCCACCTCACACAAACACCATTTCTTTTTTGTCTGTGTCTATTTGTGTTACAGTGGAGGGAAGAATGGGAAAGGCGGTTCAATGGTCCCTGTAAACACAGTTTGCTG